TTACCAAACCAACTAGGAAAATGAAAACTATACTGCCTAGGTTTGTTCTCATACTTATATATGTTTTACAGCCAGTTATCAGAAAAGCAAAGGGTGGAGTAATATTTCCCACTATCATAACTAAATTTTGGACTATAATCCCAGACAGCATGACCACTGACTCAGCTGGCTAGCCAATTTTGAAAGCTTTAGTCCAAACAATAACTTTCCCAAGCCTAGCCCCTTCTACACCTTTAGTAAACAGATACCTTTGACAACTTCTGTTGTTATCCTAGCCTCACCAAAATTATTTTTTCATCTTTTCTGAGGGGTCCAAAGCAAGATGATGTATATATTATCTCTCTACCTTTCTCATTTTGTCCAGCTGAGGTCAGGTTGAGGAAGTGACTGCCCCAGATCCTCCAGTGAGTTTCATCATGGCTAAGTGTGGGCTTTAATCCAGTACCTTTCCATCTTGATCCCATACTCTAATCATCTGGCCATATTCTCCAAACTTTCACAAATATCATCATTTGTTAAAGGCAGCAAAAATAGTTAATGAGAAAGAACACACAATCTATGAAAGGCTGCAGCAGTTTGCTTTTGCCTGAGTCTACCAGGAAGGACAAAGCAATGCCTTCTGCTTCTCCTGCCCCAGCAGGGTTAACTGAGTGCAAACTATTCTTGGACTTGGAACTATGTTTGTGGTGATGAAAGTAAGCTGAGCACAAAGAGAGAAAATGGGGAAAGGAGAGAGAGAAAAGCTAAGACATTTTAAAAGCAGGTGAAAAAGTGGGATGACAGAGGATTAACCAGGATTGTCCCTGCCAAATTGGGACAATTGAAAAATATGTCCTGCTCACATTCCCCCACTTGTTGATCTTCACCACTAGGCATTGTCCAGCAGATATAAAAACTGTTTAATTATTATCTTATGAGTTAATCACCTTAATTCTAGGAATCAGTTCAGTTGGCATCAACTCTCCATTTCATGTGCCATGTGCTGAAAGTTACACACATACAAATCTTCTGTTCCCACCTGGATCTTTCTTTGATAGTTATCTCCTGAATGAGATGTTAAAGTAACACATTGCCTCCTTCTGCATCAAGGGTTCAGGTAAGGAGGAGGAGAAGGCAACAGGGTGAGGGTACAAAGACATTGGCTGCACCTGCCAGTGATGGAGGAAATGTGGTTTTGCGTTTTGATCTGATAAGCACCCCTTATGCAGGTGCTTGGGGGTGGGGGGTGGGAAGCAAATTATGGGGGTTGGGGTTGGGTTTTTTTCTTGACACTTTCTCCCCCATTGCATTGCTGCCAGTGACTTCAGGTCTTTCCTTTAACCCTTAGAGCACCAAGGGGTAAACCAGGGTCTGTAGTCTGCATTACTCACCAAGATCTGCTATAGGAGTTGAATATGCTAGAAGAGCCCCACAGCATCAAACTATGAGTCTGCCTACTTTGCCATCCTCTTTCCAATGCTGACCAGTCAAACCTGCCACTAACAGCAGCCCTAAATTTGTTGTTATGTGCCTACAAAACAATTCTGGCTTCCAAGTCATTTTTTATTTACAGCGACTCTAAAGAGAATCTATCATAGGGTTTTCTTGGGAAGTTTTTACAGAGGGGATTTGCCATTGCCATCCTTTGAGGCTGAGATAGTGACCTTATCCTAGGGGTGGGTTGCAAAATATTTTCAGGGTGAGTTTGCTATTGCCTTTCTCTTTGTCTGATGGAGTGTGACTTTCCCAAAGTCACCCAGTAGGCTTCCATGTCTGAGCAGGCACTTCAACCCTGGTCTTCTAGAGTCCTAGCCTCATACTCAAACCCACTCCCACAAAATGTGTGTTCATATGTGCCTTCAAGGCACCTGCAACTTATAGTGATCCCATGAATTTCATAGAGTTTTCTTAGGCAAAAATATTCAGAGGTGACTTAGCCAGTTCCTGCCTCTGAAATATTGCCTATAGTGCCCCAATTTTGTTTTGTTTTGTTTGTTAACTGCCTTTGCATCAGTCTCAACCCATGGCAACCCTATGGGTGAGATATCTCCAGGCCCCCCGTCCTCTACTGCTCTGCCTAGCTCCTGCAAACTCATATTCGTGGTCTCTTTAATACAGTCCATCCATCCAGCATGTGGCCTTCCCCT